GCTTGTTCCATGCACTGGTACCAATGTCGAAAGTTAAAAAGGCCGAGGTATATACCATACTATATACCAGATATGTACCATCCTAGACTGCATCTCACTTAACACCAGGTGCGATTGCGGTCAAATACCTGCCTTGTCTAGCATAAAAAAAAAAAAAAAAAAAGGTAGGACCAATCTCGAAAATATTTACTTACCATGTGCTTTAGTTTATCCGAGATCCATGGTAACGGTGAAGAAATATGTAGATAGGTACGAGATCTATCGGACACTTGACTAAAACAGTTTATGGTAGAGATCCTGATAAATAAGGATTATAATACAATACAAATACAAATAAAATCGCAGGACCGGTCTTTGTGGAAATCCTTGGGGGAGGCCTTTGTCCAGCAGTGGACGTCTTTCGGCTGAAACGAACGAACGAACGAACGAACAAATAATTTATTGAATTTAAAACATATATCATTTTCGTTATCTTGTATCACATTTTTGTATATTTACCTACTTACTTTACTTTATTTCGTCATTTTTGAGAAAGGAAAAATCGGCAGATATTTTTTCTCAAAGTCAAAAGGACCTCCGTAGAGCGTAGCATACATATATTTTTTGAAAGATTTCCTTTAATCGATGTGATATTGTCCGTATAATATGTTACTTGTTTCTCAATATTATTTCACATCATAACTTATTACAAGTTACAAATTATAAATTATAATACCTAATGTCAAGAAACAAAGGAAAAACTATAATTGCCTATCTATAAAAGGAATATTATTATTATAAAGTGATTTTCTTAAGAACACGTTGAGTATATTTTATAATGACTGTTAATGACAGAAGATAATAATGCTGTACATCCAGAAAAATAATATCAAATCTGCAATAATACACCAACGCCCAACATTTCTGTGACTCTGTAGTAGAGCACAGTTTATCCAACTAAGGGTGGATTCGACCAAACAAAAGTAAATATTGATCTCAGAATAAATCGTCAGTTTTGACATATTATTTCCCATACTGACAATGTGCCAGTTTTATCAGGAGTTATTCTCGGATAAAAGTTTGGTCAAATCGGGCCTAATTAAAGCTATTTAAGTTAAATTACATTCTTAGGCAGCCGATTATGTAATGAAAAATAATAATCTATTTAATTAAACTAAGTGGGTTGTGACGTCTTGTAGTCTGCTGGCGCTATAATCCACCCTGCGAACCGGGCGACCGGACCGTCCAAGTCTGTAAAAATAAGAAATTAACAACAAATTATTTTTTCAATAACGCAAACCCGTTCGGTAACCGCGTTCCTATCTCAGTAGCGGCCATTAGTAATTTATTTACACAACAAAAAGCGAACGATTATAATAACCTGCGATTAAGCGGGCACCCGCTATCGGTGATTGGAATCAGTGCGCGCGCGCAGTGTATCGAAACTGGTGTAAGGTGCAGGCGCACAGCGTACCACCACGCGGCCCTTTGACCTTTGGAAGAGCTCAAGGTCTAGTAGATTAGGAAAAAGGTTGAAGTAGATTAATTGTAGATAATAATTGCACGTGTTCTCTGCCTCTTAGATCAAGATTCTGTTTTTGTCCACAGCAATCAACTGTGCCAAAATTCCAGTCATTCGTTCTTTTATACCTATCATGTGCACTGTAATAAGCGAAGTGTGTGAATGTAGGAAACTGGAAACTTTAATTTATGGATAAGTAATTCAATTAACCTAATGATAATCAGATTTTTCATGCTATCCCGTAATTTTAATTTATTTTATTTTCATTTGAGAACGTTTTGCATTGATTTCATATACATTGCAGCCGACGACTACTCTTACTCTGTAGTAGAGTTTAGCTATTTAAAATGACTTTTCCGATGACTGTTGTTCAGGTACAGCAGTAAAATCCAAATAATCCTTTCTCACACCTTCCCATGGAAAGTATACGCACTGCAATGGGCTTTCAATCAATCACGCATGTCGCTTGCGCCCGCGCAAGCGTCCGTCAATCATGCGTGTTCGGGCCTCACTGCTACTGGACATTATCTGTGCACGTTGCTTTTATTGAAAAACTGGCAAAGGAATAACGCTGGGAGTCTATCAAAAGTCTACATAATAGACTGCAATACTTGATAACTTGTCATTCAAGTTCATCATATTTTTTATACCTATTCATTTCAGTTTTGGCAAAATAAAGTAAGTAGTTTNGCTTTTCTTAAACATCACAAATCGATTAAATTAACTGTAGGTAATGAGATATCAACTTTGCATTATTTTATTTGTAATAATAAAATAAACATATGTGCTACCATTCGGTTTGTCAAATCTTGGATACGGTCAAAGGTCACCACAAATCGGCTTTCCTATTTCAGTAGCATCAAAATCAGTTCTACAGTTTTGCTTATACTATCTTCTTCTGAAATATTGGTATTTTGGATCGTTTAGCCCTGGCACTCGCAAGTGGACTTTATTTTCCTACTCATGATGCCAGTATGCGCGCACGCAGCCCGTCAATCACTTTTTGTGGCCCATTCACGAGAGTCCATTCAGCTACCGAGCACCGGACGCGGCCGCAAAAAACTCAATGAGTTATTATACTCGAGCGATACTATTATGAGCTAGGTTTATCTGAGACTGTTATCTAAAGTAGTTATCGTTTTGAGATTGGCTCGTTTGGTTTGTTTATTGTATGTTAGATGCAAGAGTTTCATAACATGTGTGTTGCTGGTCTATTTCTGGGATGAAATGTAGTTTCTGTCTGTACTTTGACCAATTCTATTTTGCTGATCTCTAGATATCTTCTTCTATCGTGTAAGCTATACCAACTGTGGCTATTTATCATAGTCCTGCTGTTGGTTTCTGCCTGCAATTTCTAAGCCAAAGAGAACAGATGCACAAATTGATCTAGAACCTACAACTTCCATTTCACTTGCTTAGCACTGAACTACAGAAACGTTAAGAGTCCCAATAAGAACCATCAAATAATATTCTTTTAAAAATTTTATCCAGCAAGCATTGCTTTTTTACATTTTAAAGTAACGCCTTTTCTATTTATCGAACTTAGATCAAACTACTGGAAAAAATTAATGGTGAAATGAATCGAATTAAATGTAATATTCGATTTCAATTCGAGATCGTGATTGTTTCGCTTAGTACAAAAAGTCGAATAGCAATCTACACTTTTAATTACATTGTCTACAGGCCCATTGCCTATTGCCTTCGCCTGCTTCACAATAATAAGAATACAACAAAAACAGACGTTGATAACCAAGCTTATTTAACGTCAGGGAGCTAATCGATCAATTTCGATCACGTGTTCATTGTGTTCCGATGAAATCTACCACNGTAGTTTTCCTTAAACACCACAAATCGGTTAAATTAACTGTAGGTAATGAGATATCAACTTTGCATTATTTTATATGTGTAGTAACATTTGGTTTGTCAAATCTTGGATACGGTCAAAGGTCACCACAAATCGGCTTTCCTATTTCAGTAGCATCAAAATCAGTTCTAGGGTTTGTTTACTATCAGTGCTTCGACTGAAATATTGGTATTTTGGATCGTTTAGCCCTGGCACTAGCAAGTGGACTTTATTTTCCTACTCATGATGCCAGTATGCGCGCACGCAGCCCGTCAATCACTTTTTGTGGCCCATTCACGAGAGTCCATTCAGCTACCGAGCACCGGACGCGGCCGCAAAAAACTCAATGAGTTATTATACTCGAGCGATACTATTATGAGCTAGGTTTATCTGAGACGGTTATCTAAAGTAGTTATCGTTTTGAGATTGGCTCGTTTGGTTTGTTTATTGTATGTTAGATGCAAGAGTTTCATAAGGTGTGTGTTGCTGGTCTATTTCTAGGATGAAACGTGTCATTTTCAATACTTGGACAATTTAGGCTTTCTTAATGATCCCTAGAGATCCTCCTCTAACGTGTAGGTTGAGCCAACTGAGGCTTCAGTCCTAGTGTTAGTTCAAGCCTGCAATTTCTATATCAAAGAGAACAGATGCAAAAATTGATCTAGAGCCTACAACTTCCATCTCACTCGCTTCGCACTGGACTACGGAGACGTTAGAGTTCCAATAAGAACCATCATGTAATACACTTTTTTTTACAAATTTTGTCCAGCAAGCATTGCTTTTTTTACATTTTAAAGTAGGTAACGCCTTTTCTATCGGACTAATATCGAACTACTGGAAAAAATGATCGATGAAATGAATCGAATTAAATGTAACATTCGATTTCAATTCGAGATCGTGATTGTTTCGCCACGTACAAAAAGTCGAATAGCAATCTACACTTATAATTACATTGTCTACAGGCCCAGTGCCTATTGCCTTCGCCTGCTTATACAAGTACAATAAGAATACAACAAAAACAGACGTTGATAACCAAGCTTATTTAACGTCAGGGAGCTAATCGATCAATTTCGATCACGTGTTCATTGTGTCCCGATGGAATCTACCACGGAACGACCTTTGCTTCTGTTCGTGCTCTATGAATTAGTAGACTACTCGTGTTTTATCTCTCGTCGACTTCGTTACGTTAGCGCAAGCACATGCAACACCAATTTTATAGTATCTTTGTTGTCTAATCGACATAGTACGAGCTCGCTTTATTTTGGAACTCGTCTAGCCATTTATTTATATTGTGGTTATTACTCTCGTAAGTCACGCAATATGATAGTAATTGATGACTCTAAAATAGTAGAAATTTGCGAATTTGACAAAGTGAGAATGGCACATTGCGACCGCTTGACAATTTGCGAATTTGACAATTTGCGCATAAACGATATAAATTGTGGTGTGTTAAATAATTTCTAATATCTGCATCGCCGGTTTCATTATAGGTAGATTAACCTCCATCCTCCAAAAATATATTTCAATTAGGGTTTAATCATCGATCTATTTTAATCATACCTAAATAATTCACCCACACGGCCAACCCTTTATCTGAACCGATAAAGCAGTGATAGCTGACTGTTGTGTCATAATACTTAGTCACATTCATATGAATAAGCACAAAAACAAAACGCGTTAGTTTTGCGTCGGCAGCGAACTAGACACACGTCAATTTGGTGTAGACAATTAAGATAATGGGTGTTTATTGTGACATCGGTGTTAACGCACCACCGACTGGTGCTTTCGGCCCTGGGAGCGTCGTGTCCGGAGCGGTTCAGTACGCCATTGAAGACAACACGCCTGTGGACCAGATCATCATCACATTAAATGGCACAGAAACTCTGTCCATCAGAAAAAGTGATAGCAAACCTCAGGACTCGCGACACTATCATGGCAACGAGATAATAGTGAATTTTGCAGCTGTAGTCAAACATAACCAAACTACAGGTGGACAACTAAATCGAGCAGAATTCAGCTTCGTGCTACCAAATAATGCACCATCATCGATGAAGTTTACAGGAAGACACGGAAGTTACAGCGGTACGTGCAACATAATATATAACATCCAGGCCGTGTTCACGGTCTCGGGGCGATTGTCGTTCAACAAGAAGTTTGAGAAAGAAATACGTGTGGTGTCTTCAGCGATCACTCCAAAACTACCTACAAATCCAATGACGCGTGGTGAAACTAAGAAACTTTTCCAGCCTTTTCGTAGAGGGAAAAGCATAGTGTCAATAAAAGCGACTATACAAAACTCGGTGATTCTTCCCGGCGGCAGAGTGGAGATAGCTTACGAAATTCAGAATAACACTAATCTAACTATAAGAGCAATCGAAGCCAAACTGATGGAGGCATATAATTTCTATGCATACGGCATACATATAGTTGAAATGGCCCAGGATGTCCCAAGTATGTTCTTCAAGCGAGGAGCTTTAGAAAGTGGAGAAACGTTCAGCACGACGACCACAGTGGTTCTACCCCAATATGTCCACAATATTGATAATGCTAAATTGGTCAAGAGAAGTTATTTTTTCCTCATAACAGCGGAACTGCCAACGCCTCATTTTGACGCCAAGCTTTTAATCCCTATTCAAGTTGGACACCCATACAACATGGTATACGAAAGCCATCCCACAGAAGTGCCTGGTACATCGTATCACCACCAAGACCCACCACCAAGTTATTGGCAGTCCACCAAAGACATGGAAAAATCTAGCTGATATTAAACGTAAAACCGCATCGAAGTATTATAATGGACAATAGTGAAGATTCTTAGCATAGTTATTCGTATTAGGATTCATAAATTCAAATTATCATTTCCCACTTTACTCATAAATATCACGTTACATTGTTAAATTATTAATTAAGTTTAGGTAGTAAATTTTATTCAATAAGTTTAAACAAATAAACCTTTTTTATACTATAATTTTATGATTATGTTCTAAAAATCACCTCCTGGCAACAATAGTTCCCATCGATTTATTTTACTAAAGGTCAGTTCTTTATCTTAAAGATAAAATGGTAATGTTTACCTGTTATCACCTACTAAAAGGATGTATGTATCAAAAACATAGTTTCGTAACCAGTCTAGGAATAAATTCTGTTTGTTGTGACATTGACATGGATAATACATTGTAGTCACTGGATTTCGATGCGTCATCGAAGATAACATGTTAGTCAACTAGGTCATTAATTAATCATAACACAATGCACTGGAAATCTATCATTATAAAACTGGAATTATAATTAACAATGTTACAAAATGCTGATTAGTGTTACAAGTATCAAGAAATGTAATCAAAATTAAATAAAATAACAATCGATGAACACAACGTATCTTATAAAAATAATTTCCTATTTAAATATCACCTAGTTATAGGTAGACATTAGGTCGCTCTTGAGTCATAGATATTGTGCAATTAGTAAATCATAGACATCAGCAATTGTTGTTGCAATTTTGTCTTACAAAGAAATAAAATAAACGTGCACAGGCTCTGTGTAGCTGATATTATAAATCAGTTAGGTAACAAGAAAAGCCGCTTCAAATGAAAAAGAGTTTCCCAGAACGTAATTGTTTCCAGTGAGATCCGGGTCTGGCCAAATCACGTATAAATCAGATAAGAACGGAATAAAACGTCCGTGTGGCCGTGGCTTGACCGCAGGCTTGCTGAGGCCACGAAACTAACGATTTTTAACACAGAAGTCTTCGCAATGTTTTTTTCATTTTACAAGTTAACATAGGAAGTAGTTATACACTGGACCGTAAAGAAAAAGGGTTGGTTAGAATTAATACCTTCAATATATTCAAAGACATCTGACCTAGCTTTATGATATAAAGACTAAATTATTTCAAACTTTTATATTTTTAGTAAAATGTAAAATAAATAAAAATGTTTAGTTGTTTCAGTATGTTTTGTATAGATAATAACCGACCCTTTTTCTTTAAGGACCAGTGTAGAGAGGTTAAGGTATTAATAAGTAAGATAAGTTTAGTTTTAGTTATTTTAATGTGTTATGTTTTTTATTAGTTTAAAATTTAGTATTAAGTCTTAACATAAATAAATAATTTCCTTAAAATTATACTGCTCATACCATATAATGTTAAGTAATTAAACTATTTTTAATCGTAATTATAATGTATGTTTAAATAAGTATCAATAAGTTACAAGAAGTCTATTGAGGAAGTTATAAATATGTTTTTGTTTATGACTAATGACGCTAGTTTCGAGGCCTCAGCCGCGCTGGGCGGGCGCCGGACAATACTCGGCGAGGCGGAGAGACCGGAGGTAGGCGGGCGGCCATTAGGGCGGATAAAGTATTGTCAATGCCTTCTGTCAGGCTTCACAAATACATAAAGTTTTAATATTAGCAAAAGATCTTGAGATATGTAAATGCTCCTTGAAAGCAAAATGTTTATTTGTTTGTACCTACTAATTTAATTAATACACACACCAATGATACTATTACTTTAATTTTTTGATTTCGAGTTGGGCAAAATACTTGCGGGTAAAAAAACTTTATTCTCATAAGAATTACTTCACTTACATGAGAACTTACAAATAAAAATATATTAAAATAAACGTTTTACAATTACGCGAGCGTGCTAAACTAAGTTAGTGTGGGTAGCTTTCATAGTATTTTTTTCATTTATTTATTTATTATTGTACCTACTGATGTGGGTTAAGATTTTTCTTTCTTTCTTTATCTTATATCTAATGGAAATTATGAACAAAAATATGTTTTCAAATACATCGTTCTCAAGGTATTGTAGCGAGTACAACATTATGATACCTCAGTGCCTTCAGCTACGCAGGGCGGGCGCACAATACTCGCTGAGGCGAAGAGCAAAGGCGGGCGGCGGGCGGCCATCAGGGCGCATATACGAGGGGCGGCTGAAAAGTTTTGAGCCTAGGGTATTAAAAATGCCGATAGAAACTTATAAAAAATATATTTTTCTATTTAATCTCCCTGTACTACAACAGCCTTCTTACATTTGTGTAAAAGAGCTTTTAACCCACTGAAAAAAAATTCGCAATCTTTGCCTTCGAAATGAGCCTTTAACGCTGTCTTAATTTCTTTGTCACTCAAAAATCTTCGTTCCTGGAGATCTTTTTTCCAATTTGAGAATTAGACAAAATAGGATAGGATTCGGACTAAACTGTGTGGTGAGTGATTAATTTCTTGAAATCCAGTTTTACCCGGGGCAAGCCATGCAACATGCGCGGTGTGCGCGGGTGAATTGTCTTGCAATAACAGATTTCCTTTCGCCAGTTTGCCTCTTAATATTTCAACAACCACTTGACGCACTCTTATCAACAGTACAGCATAATAATCCCCGTTTATTGTAGTTTTTTTAAGTAGGTAGTCAATGAATAAAATTCCTCCACAATCCCAAAAATAGTGGCTATGAGGTTGGGTGTCGATCGCTCCACTTTGAATTTCCTCGGCGGCGTTTTCCCTTTTGAATCCATTGCATTGACTCTTATTTTGACTCTAGATCGTACTGCCGGATCTATTATTTATCAATAGTGACAATGTGAGAAAAAAAATTGTAAGGATTATGGGCAAAGATGTCCTAAAACTCCTGCGAAGTTTTGACTCGACGTTGGTTGTCGAACGGCGTTAGCATTTTTAGCACTCATCGCGTGCACCCCTATTTCTTGTGCAAATGAGTATGAAAAATATCGCCAATACGTTCCTTGCTAATGCCTATGGCTTCAGCTATCTGTCACAGCTTAATTCGCTGATCTCTAAAGCAAGATTCTTTAAATTTTCATTATTTTATTCGTTAATGGCGAAATCTGGCCGCCCTGACTTGAGGTCATCTTTTAGCGACTCCCTGTCATGCTTGAACTATCGGATCCAATCTTTCATGATGGCAAATGAAGGCCCAGACTCCCCATAAAATGTAGACATCTCTTCAAATGTTACCGTCAGCGTTTTGTTCCTCTTTTTGAGGAATTTTATAACAACTGTGTACTTCAATTTCGTACATTGCGCGGATGACTGAGACATGATGATGTTTACGAATTAATTACTAAAAGCGTGATGACGCTAAATAAATGAAACTTTGTACATATACTAAGGAGGTTATTGTCAATTTAATTAAATTTAGCGCGAGTCAATAATAACACTTGAAGATACTTAGGCTCAAAACTTTTCAGCCGCCCCTCGTAGTTTAGTCACTGGCCTCGGCAATATTTTATTTCTGTTGATTATTAGTGTATTAATTCTTCAGTCTTGGTGAATCTGCAACAAAATAAATTAAAATAGATTATTTTTTTATTATTATTGATTTACTTCATTAACCCTTAATTAGTCNTTAATGGTAGTAAGCAGTAGTATGTTTTTATTAATTAGTAATTAGTGCAATAAAAACAATGCCATTTTATTTCTGATTACAAATTACAATTGATGAAATCTGAGTAAGAAGTTCTACAATCCTTCACATACTGTACACAGTACACACATTAAGATATCCGGATTCAAATAATAGCTAAAACGTTATGTATGACACTATTAAGGACAAATTACCATCTCCGCGAGTAAAAGACAAAAAATCCTGCCCGCCCATCAGTTTGGCTGGACACCGCCCGCCCTATGAGAGCAAGAAAATACCGTCCCAAAAAAACCTATGACATGTGGCAATAGGATGAGTTTCTCGTTAATACGCTTCATAGTTTTTAAATAAGTATTATTTGTATTGTTTTATCGACCCAGTGGTTGATTTGTTTTCCTTAATGAGACACAAACTAAAATTAATCACATCACAAGCAAATAAAATATAAAATCAGTAGGCTTATAATAGTGTGATTAAAATAGTCGGGTCTTAACGCGACATTAATTAATGAGTTACATTATGTACTCACGGCTTGACGTTTCGGCTGCGATGCTGCAGCCGTGGTCACAAGCAGACTGAAATTTAATTAATAATAATTTAATTGAAACGGAATGCGAAAGTTTAAAATCTTATAAGTATAACAGTGTGATTAGTTTTATGAATCCTTAATCACGAAATAGTCTATGCCTTAATATTACCAGTTAGACTAGTAAGGTTTTGAAAAGCATTTCAGGTTGGAATTATTAACGTAATATTCCCAAAGTATATTCAATTATTCATCCCAAATTATATTCAATTATTCATATCAAGAATAGAAGAAAAAGTAAGATCTAACTTTATTTCTAAACCAATAAATTTGCCAGTAAATCGATCGTTAACAGATTTCACTGTGACAGCAATGGCAGGTCAAGCCTCCGCTGATTGCCGCTTGTTGCCTTATTGAATACGCAGTCTCACGGGATGCGTCGACGTGTTTTGGATGTGTGGTCTTATGGATTCGTAGGTGAGACTCGTTTTTGTTTCAGTCATAGCATTTTACTGAAATACAAACTCTTCTAAAAAACCTTTCAGTGCCTGGGTATTCTTAAATGCTAAAGAAATAAAGTTAAGACCGCATTTACTCAACTCATTCTATTATTTTCTTATTTTTATGACTTCTTTACATAGAATTATAGAGAAAGTATTTTCTGTGTAAAACTTGAATAACTACTTGTATTACCTATCAACCCATGTCTCAACGGTCATATTCTCAAATGCAGACAGTACTACTAATGACGTTTTTATTAGTAATCGCGTGACCGTCTTCTCTGTGCCAAATATGGCGGTCACGACTGAATAGAAAAATACAATATATAAGGTAAAAACTTCGTTACGCCGGTATGCAAGAAAAATTACCGATACACAAATCAAACGGCTTATAAATAGCAGACGTGTAATTACAGGCAACAATAAATAATGCTTGCAACATTGTATGAAATAATTTAAACACTTAACCCGTAACCGCGCAGGTGTAACAAAAAATGTTCCGGCTGGGCCTCCGAGACCGCAGACCCACGGGGTCGGCAAATGGACGGAANGGGCTGAATTAGACGCGCGTTAGCGGTCAGCTTTGTTACAGTAATTGATTCGTCCGCTGCACTTTTTACTGTTGACTTTTCGTGGTCGTGTGACAGCGGTTTGCGGTCATTTATACGCGTTAGCTGCGGTCGTTATCGATCATTATTTGACAAGTAATTACTCACTTTCTGCGAGCATAAAGAGCATGCGGGATCGTTGGTCTTATATACGACATTAATGGTAAATGTCGCCAGTGCAAACTAAAAGTAACTCGCAAGTCGCAAAAATTAAGTAACTTAAGCAATAGACGAGGAGGAGGTATACAAATAAGAACCTAAATTTTTATTTCAAACTGTAGTATTTTTAAATAGTGTAGGTAGCTTCTTAGTTTGTTTACCATTGTTTTTATAGCCACACAAAGTCAGCCAGCCCCCGTGTTTGCGTTGGCACACGCAATCAGCCTCCGTGCGCCGCCCACGAATCGCTGTTTGGCCGCACTCGCTGATTTGTGTGCCGCCGATGTTTGCCGATCGCGTCGGGGGGACCTAAAAATAATAAGGGACATTCAAATTTTGTTTGTTTTAAATAAATAAATAAGCTACTTAAGCAACTTAGAAAGCTTTAGAGTAAGAGATGAATGTTTGATGACTGAAGTTGCCATGATCAAGCTCCTTTCCTTGAAAAATTTCAATCAATTGTATTACACCTATTTTCAGTATAACAGATTCAGATTTCACGTGAATAATGTTACCTACAAATTAAGCTTTTTGTAACAAAGAGCACTTTTATGTTTCCTGCGTAAAACCTAATTCTCAATTCTTGTCTCTACACGAAAATAGAAAAAGAAACTCAACATCAAGTTCCACTGATCGGCTTTCCATTTCAATTCACCGTCACTCCTGTCAAATAACTCCAAAGTAAGCAGACAACGGGTTCA